TGGGGGGGGGGGGGCCGGTCTCAAAAAGGAAAAAAAAAAAAAAAAAAAAAAAAGAAATAGAAGCTGAAAGCCTCTGGAGGGAGTGTGGCCCTGACAACTCCTTGGTTTTGGCCAAGTGAACCATTTTGGACTTCTGACATCCAGAGCTATAACAAAATAAAACTTGAGTTTTAAGTCACTAAGTTTGTGTAGTTTGTTACAGTAGGTACAAGAAATTAATACACTGGGTTAAGTTCTAGGAACCAGGCTGGCTGGTTGGTTTAGTTGGCTAGAGCACAGCCCTCTAACATCAAGGTCAAGGGTTCAGATCCCCATACCCCCCAGCAACCAAAAAAAAAAAAAAAGTTCTAGGAACCAGGGAAGGTACAGAGAGCACAGGAATTAGAGTTCCACACTTGGTTTAAGCCTGCTCCTCATCTTATTGACTTGCCTAGGACTAAGACTTGTCTACAGCTCAGTTTCTTCATTTGAAAGTCAGGGAAAATACCTTCCTTAGGCTTAGTGTGAGTACTAAAAAATTTGTTCAAATCTCTGTTCAGGTACATTTGTGAAACATACTTTGGACCATGCTTGGTGTGGTCCAACATGAATGTAGCAGTGGGAACACAGTGAGGACTCAAACCTAGATTCCCTTTCCCCTGCTGCTTTCTCTTTAGAGGGACTACCAGAAACCTTTCTTCTCCCAGGTAGTTCCTATTTAATTTGTACAAGGATCCCCTAAGACATGGGATGAGATAATTCTGTTGGCCTCGTTCAGTATCACATGTGTCTGCTGTGCAAATAAATACCAAGGAAGGCTGATTTGATTGTTCTCATGCTCTAAAACTACAGTATTTGCCCATCATAATACATAATTAGACCCAGGCCCAGTAACAATCATCCCTTATCTCTAACTACTAACTTATCTATTATTCATAAACTATTCCTCTGAAAAAAAGAGAAGGGGCAGGGTGGAGTATCACTGCAACAGTCCAAAGTCACAGTGATCTGATAGCTCTTCAAGGACAGGTACTGCTTATCAGGATGGGGCCAAACTTATCTCTAACTACTAACTTATCTATTATTCATAAACTATTCCTCTGAAAAAAAGAGAAGGGGGCAGGGTGGAGTATCACTGCAACAGTCCAAAGTCACAGTGATCTGATAGCTCTTCAAGGACAGGTACTGCTTATCAGGATGGGGCCAAACTTGGAGCCTAAAAGCTTTCGTGAGCCATAAAAAGTTTATTACAGCAACTAAACCTGTCCTTCTGTACTTACTACAAATAAGATCAAGTGCCTCTGCCTTGTGCTTTAATTTCAGCTGTATCCTCTGTCCTACTATAATCTTAATATGTATTGTTTCAAAACATGAAAGTAAAAGAATTAACTGTGATTTATTTTAACTTCACTGCACTACACTGGCATACAAATAATCTGTACATTTAAAAAGTAACTCTTCTGTTGTAAGAGAGCAAGGTGTAGTTCAAGGACACGAGATAGGTTTCCTCTATAGCAGCAACGAATGGAAATGAAGTGCTTACCATAGCAAGTTAACATCTGCACAGAATTTGACCCCGTTATCTAATTCCCTCTTTATCCTTTTTGTCAACTTTCTCCAAGGAATGACAAGAGGACATAGATTAAAAAATGTCAGCAGAAATCATCTCTACTGATTCTACCGGGAACCTACAAAGGAAATTCTTCAAAATAAGCTAAAGAATTAATATAGCCAGTGCAAATGTGTGGAAGAAGAATAATCCTAGTACCTCTCCCTGTCCTCTGGCAGTATGTTAGTGGCTCTTAAAGATTTCACAGAAATTAGCTTTGAGGAAAATCACAACTTTTTGGATTCGTATCTAAAAGGCACTTATGCACATTTTCAATTAGGAAGGTGACTGACAGATGAAGAATAACACTGAACTATTCTCTTATCCTTAATGACCAAAGTTCTGGATTTAGAATGGTATTCAGGTGTGCTGCCTCTGTCAGGAGAGCTGATTTTCATTATTCCATAGCCTGGCCACGTTGACAGGTTTCACTGCAGGTTTTCAAAAAATAGACTCCACATCACCCATCTCCACGCACACAGTCTTCAGTTGTGAATAATATTCAATTGTCACACGGCCGTTCTCTCTGCCAAATCCTGAAAGGAAGAAAAGGGGTCAGGACAAGCTACCACTGCAACAGTCCAGGAGTCACAATGATCTTCAAAAACAGGCACTGCTTATCAGGGCTGGGGAAGAAAACAGAGCCTAAACATCTTGGGATTAAGTCCTCAATCCATACATTAGCTGTGGAGTTAGGCATGGGAAAAATGACCCAGTGGCTTTCAGGTATAGGGACCAGGAAATATACAAGTCTCCTTTCTTACCATTATGAACCTTAATTTCAGGTATTCTGTGTTGAGGTCTGAAAGATATTCGGATTTGTTATCAAGTATTGAAGTAGTTTCTACAACAATCAACCTGATGCTCTTGAAAGTTGTTGCTAATTTAAAACTCAACTCTAAATAATAGGTTTATTAACCTTTTCCTATACTAAATCTGTAAGAGTATACTATTTACGCCCTGCCCACTCATGTAGGGGAGGGGACACTTTTGGTCCCTCTGATTACCCGGAGTCCAAGACACTGCCCCAATTACTAGTGGATGAGGTTACTGCATTAAAGGCACAGCATTCCATGCTTTGCCTTTGTTGTACACCCTGCCCTAGACTTAAGAGTAGGCTCTGCCTTCTAAGGACAAGGCCCAGGTCCCGAAAAAAGCACATTTCAAGGGGGCACGATTCAAAATGTAACATACACAAAAGTCCTGGAAAGACCTAGCTTTGTCTTTTGTTCCTTTCCAAATCCTCTAAACACATCTGGTCAGGCATGTTAAGCCAGGTGCTGCTCTGCAGATCTGGCCATCTTTCTCTCTCATCCCATGTAGGCATACTGGTGCAAAGGGAAGGAAAAGCTGACCTAAGAGGCCCCCAAAGACCTAAGCTGCAGATTCTAAGCACATTTTTTTCCATGCTGAGGATTATGTATTAATAAAATTATGCCTTAGTTCTCACTGGCATTTGTGCCTGTGTGTACAGCTCCTCTGAGTATCCAACAGGGTTGAAGATGGTTAGTGGAGTATGATTAGGGAATGCAAGGAGAATACCATACTAAATACTAAATAAGACTGTCAAATTAACACCTACCATCTCATCAGTATTCGTGAGGGTTTATATATTTGCCAACACTGTGATGGCTGTAAACATTTGCCACAGAGACTAGGGGTCAGACTATTAGAATGGTGCCTCTACAAAGTCCAAACCAATTTTCAGTCTAAATGAAGAACAGTATGGGACATTAATGAATATTTACAGGCAACAAACTCCAAAGAAAGAACCTCAAAATAGGGGCTACATTCCTAATGCCTCAAACCTTCTCCTGACATACCACACCTATAAAATTGCCATGTTATGGTAACATATGTCTGCTGATTATTGAATAAATGAAATGAAATGAGTGGTGGCTTAGGGAAAACATTCCTATATGCTATCAAGTATAATGATAATGACTATAATTGACTGTTAAATGTTAGATTAAGAGATTTTTATTAATTTGACCCAAAAGAGAAAACAAATAAATATAAACTTTCTGAGATATTACTTTAGAGACACTTTACCTAAACAGAATCTTAAAAGCTCCACAGGAGGTGATGATGGACACTGCTGATGTGGAATCTCTAGAGGAGTGATTTTATGCTTACAGTAATCACAGACTATGAAGAAAAAGTAAGTCTACCCACAAGATAAACCTTTCTAGGATGTATTTCAGCAATTCACAAGCCAAGCTTTGCAGAGAGTTTTCAGGGAAGAAAAAAAAGATGCTTGGCTTCCATTCCCAGAGACTGATGCAGTGGATCTGGGGAGGACCAGGAATTTATATATTTCTCCAGGTGATTCTGATATGCAGACAGGTTTAGGAACCCTGGTCTATGAGGACTGAATAACGTCAGTATCCCCAGAGAACCTGGTTTGCCATCATGCCACATTTCCCAGCTGCTCACCTGACTTCTTATATCCACCAAAGGGCAACTCCACTGGGCTGATGTTGTAGTTGTTAATGAAGCACGTCCCAGCCTGCAACTCAGCCACCACTCTGTGAGCCCGCTGGATGTCCCTGTAAAGAGAAAACATGTGCTGGTTACTCATAGTTTCTTATGTCACCATTCTAACAGGAAGAGTCAGACTGCCAGTTCTAAGGATCTCAAAATCTGGCTACATTCTTGTTTCTTCAAAATGTTTAAAAATCTTCTATCATCCAGGCAAAATAGACACAGATTTGGGTTTTATGGTCTCGTGCAAAAGACAACTACAAAATAAGTAGCATCAACAAGGGTGCCAAAACAATTCGATGGTGAAAAACAGTCTTTTCAATAAATGGTGCTGGAACAACAAGATATCTACATGCAAAAAGATAAATGTAGATCCCTTTCTTACACCATACACAAAAATTAACTAGAATGGATCACAGACCTAAAATGTCACAGGGAAAACTATTAAAAAAAAAAAAAAACACAGAAGTAAGTCTTCATAACCTTGGGTTAGGAAAAGCTTCTTAAATATGACACCAAAAGTAACAGACAAAAAACCAGAATAATTGGACTCTGTCAAAATTAAAAATTTTGTGCTGCAAATAAGACTATCAAGAAAGGGAAAAGAAAACCCACAGAAACACAAATCAAAACTACAATGAAATACCACCTCACACCTATGAGGATGGCTAAAATCAAAAGGACAGACAGCAACAAGTACTGATGAAGAAGCGGAGAAACTGAAACCTTCATACATTGTTGGAGGGAATGTAAACTGGTGCTGCCACTTTGGAAAAGTTTAGCAGTTCCTGTTACCATATGACCCAGCAATTTCACTCCCAGATATACACCCAACAGAAATGAAAATATAGGTCTTCAAACAGACTTGTACATAGATGTTCATAGCAGCACTATCCATAACAGCCAAAAAGTGGAAATGACCCAAATGTCTATCAACAGATGAATGAACAAAAAGTGGCATATATCCATACAATGGAATATTATTCGGGAATAAAGTACTAATATGTGCTACAACATAAATGAACCCTGAAAATATTATGTTAAAGAAAGAAGCCAGTCACAAACGGACACATATTGTATGATTCCATTTATATAAAATGTTCAGAATAAGCAAATCCATAAAAACAGAAAGTAGATTAGTGGTTGCCAGGGGCAGAGTGGGAATAGGAATGGAGAGTGGCTGTTAATTGGCATAGGGTTTCTTCTTGGAATGATGAAAATGTTCTAAAATTAGATTATGGTGGTTGCACAACTCTGTAAATATAATAAAAACCACTGAATTGTACACTTTAAATGAGTGTGCAAGCTGCTAAGAAAAAAAAGCGACAGCATATTGGACATTACCCTCCTTTGTGGTTGGACTTTGTCTGTACTGGTGGGAGGGGGAGGGGACAAGGGAGGCAGAAGAAAGCAAGAGCACTTAAACTCTCAATCCCCAAATCAAAAAAGCAGCTCCTCAACCTTTTCTTCAGAGCTCAAAGAGAAGTTATTACATTAGTTCCTCAAGAGAGAGAGACCTTCCTACTGAGGTTCCTGACCACAAAGCTACAAAAAATTATTAATTTACATATCACCAAACAGCATGATCTCAAGGGTAAAGCAGCCTCAGAAAACTGACTACTACCAAAGACTCACCCAAGTTTGTATATAACCAAGCAATTTGCAATCATTTTCAAAGAACGTGTGTTCCCAAATCACTTTTACTTCTAATAGTAGTGATAAAAATTTATGTACAAAGATACTAATCACAACAGGGCTGGCCAGTTAGCTCAGTTGGTTAGACAATGGTGCTGATAACACCAAGGTTTGAGGTCCAATACCTATGCCAGCCAGCTGAAAAAAATATATATATAAAAATCACAACATAACTTAAGATAGTTAAAATTGCAAATATCCTAAATATCCAACAACAGAAAAAATGCCTACATGAAATTACAATGCATCCTAATTAGGAACTACTATGCCACTAAAAATCATGTTTTTGAAGAATACTGTCCTCTCTTTATATGCTTATAGGTTTCTAAATTCCTTAACATGTATATTTTCAATAGATACCTAATTCAATGCTTTACATAGATTAGAACCTTAAATGTTTATTCAGTGAATGAATAAAAAAGGACAGAATTTTTTTTTAAACAATAACCGGTAAGGGGGTCTTAACCCTTGGCTTGGTTTTGTCAGCACCATACTCAGCCAGTGAGCGAACTGGCCATCCCTATACAGGGATCCGAACCCAAGACCTTGGTGTTATCAGCACTGCACTCTCCCGAGTGAGCCACGGGCTGGCCCCTTAAAAAGGACAGAATTTTTATCAATAAAGTTTATAGCTCAACTTAAACTCAATAGGAGAGTTCTCTGGCTGTTCAGGGCAATCTACAAAATGCTGCTTTGGCATCTTCTGACTTAACCTGAAGCAAACAGAAAATGCTGCTGGCTCTCGTGAGAGAGTAAGATCAATTACATATCTAAGCAGACACTGCAGGCCCATTCCTTCCAAACTGCTTTGGGTGGCACTCTCCATGTACCTGGTAAAGACACCAGCTGCTAGTCCAAAGGTGGTATCATTGGCTCTTTCCAGAACCTCAGCTTCAGTGTCAAACGATAAAATGGACATAACAGGTCCAAAGATTTCTTCTTTCACACAGGTCATGTCATCTCTGCAATCAGCTGCAAACATTATAATAAAACCAAATGTCAGTGCAAGGACTATTATTCCTGACCCTTGAAAATGTCTTCTTATCCATAACAAAGCCCTGAAATACACAGCTTTTAAAAAAAATTCAAAAGGATATTACCAGTGAATATAAACTGGAACATGGCAATTTAACAATATATATTAAACAGTCATAGTCTTTGTGCAATTCTAAATCCAATTTTTAAAATCCATCATAAGGAGATAGCTAATGAGGCAAACAAAGATTTATTTACACAGATATTCATCATGACATTGCTGTAATAGTAAAAACTAAAAGCAACAAACTAAACAACCAAAATATAGGAAAGGATCACATGAAGTATATGAATCCTAATGATAAACTTTTATGAAACTTCTAAAAGTAATGTAATTTTTTAAAAAAAATTAAAAAAAGAAGAAGGGGCTGGCCAGTGGCTCACTCAGGAGAGTGCAGTGCTGATAACACCAAGGCCATGGGTTCATATCCTATATAGGGATGGCCGGTTCGCTCACTGGCTGAGCATGGTGCTGACAACACCAAGCCAAGGGTTAAGATCCCCTTACCGGTCATCTTTTTAAAAAAATAATTAATTAATTGATTGATTAAAAAATAAAAATAAAAAAAGAATATAAAAATGTAAACTTAGAAATAGATAATTTGAGGGGTGTTCACTTTATACAAAAATATACTTAAGTTCCTTTGAAAGCTACTTCCCTAAAATAATTAATACTTGACATTTTTAAAAATGCATCTCTAAAGAAGCTCATATATTTAGATGTTCAACACTGAACTCCAGTGATTCTCAAAGATAGGTGAGCATTTATCTGCACTGTAATTGAAGGACAGCTTATCTCAATGCTGGCAATCACTGCATGGAGTAGAAAATGTTGCTGGTAAGATTGTGTTATACATATAAACAATGTGGGGGCAGAAAAAGAGTTGAGAACCCTGCTATAAACACCAGCTTTTTACCAGCTAAAAATTTAAAACCTAAACTATTCACATATCTACAAGATGACAATTCTAAAATCTCTCAAGAGATGGATTAGAGTTTGTGTATACAAAGAATAGCACACTGGTCACCTGTGGATTACACTGTACTTTGGAGACACCTGAATTATCTTCAAAGATACATTAACTGATATTTAGGTATATTTAGGGATAGCTTATTATGTTCTAATTCTTTAAAAATTAGTAATCTACACATAATTTTTTTTTTTTTTAAATGATGACCAGTAAGGGGATCTTAACCCTTGACTTGGTGTTGTCAGCACCACGCTCACCCAGTGAGCTAACCGGCCATCCCTATATGGGATCCGAACCCGTGGCCTTGGTGTTATCAGCACCACACTATCCTGAGTGAGCCATGGGCCGGCCCCAATCTACACATAATTTTTAGGGAAACCATTAGCCAGGATATTTAATTACTCAAGACAACTCATTACCCAATAGTCCCAGAAAATGTTTTATATCTTATGTAGGTCGATAATACAATATGGGCCTGTGTGTGGTGAAGTCCATGTTGCAGAATCAATAAAAGATCAGGATAGAAAGTAGCAGCTGACATATAAGAAAAGGAAAGGTTCCTGCCTGACATATATTACACTCACTATATGTCAGTCCTCAAATCGAGTCATTCTCAAACTGTAACGAGTATAAAAATGAACTGTGGGCTTATTAAACTGCAGATCTGTAGGCCTCACCCCTGAGAGTTACCTTCAGAAGTCTAGGGCATGGGTCAGGAATCTGCCCTTTTAATAAGTTTTTCAAGTGATACTGATGCAGGAGACCACAAACCAGGCTTTAAGACAGCTCCCTGTTCTCTGCCTAGGTTCACGGCTTGTTTAAAAATAACTTTTTCTAATTGTAAAATACATGTTCTCTGTAGAAAATCTGTAATATTCAGAAATGCACAAAGTATAATAAAAATCACCTTTAATCCCAGCATCCAGAGACATCTACAATTAATATTATGATGCATATTCCATTCCTTTTTTTCTATGCACATATTTAGTTTTTAATAGATTTGGGATAATATCGTACACACTACTATATAACCTATATTTCTTTATTTAATGATATATTGAAGCTTTTGTAATTCATTATATATTCATTTAATAACTGCAAGCTAATCCATGGTACAGATGTTAGGTGCACAACTCTTAAACATGAATGAGTCTCTTTAGCAAAAGTTAAAGGTAAAACTGCATCAAATATAAAGGGTTAAAAACTAATGCCACTATCAATCTTAGGTGCAAAAATCAGCTTAATTTATCTTCGAGATAGGTGTAATGAATTATATAATATGGCTCAATCTACAAATCATTTTTTTTTTTAAAAAAGATGACCGGTAAGGGGATCTTAACCCTTGACTTGGTGTTGT